CGAAAAAGAGACATAAAAACGCATATCGCCAGGCACGTGATCTTTACTATTATTAAATTAACAAAAAGGTTGAAGACTCTAATATCATTGTGTGAACACGAAAGATCTAAAGATGTCACAGGATCAAAGTAGAGAGACAATAGTATATCTCTATAGCAGTCCTAAACTCTTGCTTCGTCATCCTACAACGGTCTCCTCCTTTGAACCCATGGACCCTTTCTTTTCCCCTTCCCTGTACTTATGCACCTACTTAATTACATTATGTTGTCAGTGCTGTCCATTGCTCATGTAATTAGATACGGAGACAGATTAATATAAGTACATTGTACTTGTTTCTGAATCCAAAATGCATATTTGCTTTTGTACTGTACTCATTTCACAAAATAAAATACAGTTTAAACTAATAGTATATCGTAATAACAGACCAGGGTCAATGTTTCCGCCGTCAAATCATACGGACATAATATCACAAGGATGATGCAACAGGCACAGTACACCAAAATATTACGCCGGCTTTATTTCTCGTCCGTAAACGAAGAGGGTCAATCGCGAATTAAAATCTTATTATTATTTGTACGAAAATAAATATGGATGGTGTCTTTGTTGCTTCAGTTACCTATATCGGACCTTTTTTTGTTAAATCCAGACTGTCTACATGTAATAGCTCATCATTTGCCAATCAAAGGTCATTTCTAGATCAGCGTTCGTAAAATATATGTGATTTACAGTATATCATAGCATATTTATCAATTTGCCTCGTTCTGAGCCTTTTGTGAAGTCCTGTATGGAGTGTCGTGTTAAACAACATTAATTGTGACAAGCAACTAAATAAAAGCGTTAAAAACACACAAAAAAGGTGTTTTAAATAAAACCAAGGAAACTACCGCAATATTTCTTACAATATAAATAAAACACCTTCCGTGTGCCTTAGTGTGTATGATTTATGTCGACTTGATATAACTTACCACCTACACGAGAAAATTACGTAGAATTAATAAACATTCTCAACTAATCATGTTTGGGAGATTTTTAATACATTTGAGTTGTCAAACCACGGTTTCTGTGCTTCAGCAAATAAAGTGACTGGATTTCTTTCATCCATGTGCAGTCATTGGATTAGGGTATATAAAAGGAGGCCGAAAAGGTCACCACATGTGAGCTATCATCGGAAACTACGACATCGATCAGTTTGATAGGACACCATTTAAAACAATTCGGGTGTGTTTCATCTCCTAATATTCTAAATGAACAACAGACAGGAACATTTAAATGTTCTTTTATGGTTTCTGGTCAACGATTACTAGAACACCGTGTGAGCTTGCTAACAATACAACTGACTTTTTTTAAAATCGCTCAGAAAGATTCACATAACTCGACATGTATTTTTTCTTCAGAAAAAAATGTTCCCTTTGAATGGGTTGTCTTAAGAAAATATTGTCTTTCGATTAGACAATACCGGTTCAAATAATTTCTTGAAGGGTCAGTCATTCAGATGTTCTTGTGTGTATGAGATACTCTGTCCTTGTACAATGTACCGAGATATCGTGTTGTGTCTACTTCAAGTCATCAACGAGAAGTAGAAACGCTCGCAATCACGGGATCATATTCAGAAGTACAAGCTCGGTATTATTCCGACATTTCGACTTAATGAGACCCCTGCTTTGTTCCACAGGATCAATTTACAACCTTCATCCCATAGTTCCCATGCAAAATTCACACACCGATAATTTCTTTTTCCCGAAATTTGAAACGAACATATTTTAGTCTACGATAAATTCTCACGCAAAGTGAATTGCTCCATGTATGAATTATATCAAAGTAATTGAGATCAAAGAGAAAGATACAGGATGAATACCCAATTGAGAAATCTTAAGTTGTAGTCGTGAGAATAAATGAATGATGAATGAATGAATGAATCAATCAATCAATCGATCAATGAACGAACGAATAAACGAATGAATGAATGAATGAATGAATGAATGAATGAATGGATGGATGGATGGATGGATGGATGGATGGATGAACAAACGAATGAATGAACAAATGAATGAATGATAAAACAAGCTAGGAAAGGAACAAAAATCGATGGAAAATACTAGATGTTTTAATGGTTCAATAACATACAGATGAATGTTTTGGAGAAATAAATTCCATTTGAAATATCGTACCCTCCAGCTATCTAGAACAACACGGAGCCTCTTAAGCACACACTCACAAATATGAATAAATTGTAAGTTATCAATTTTATACAATATGTCCCACTCAGAGGATTTTGTTGTACCTGTTTTATCTGACGTTAGATGATGATTTGTCACCTTAACAACCACATCCATGCGCTACTGTATGGGAATGGTGGAAGGGGAGGGGCTCCGTTACATTTGCTAGGTAACATCGCCGACTTTCAATAGATTGTACTGCCCAGGTAAAGTTCATTATGTACATAATCTACTTCTGTTATCTCCGAAAGAACAGAACGTAAGATACCGTAGTTGAATCAAAGTTGACTATGTCGATGAAGTCAGTCGTCCAAATGACCGTACAATTAAACCACACAGAATACTATGCTACTGTATTAGTTCAGTATAACTCTACTGCAGAAGAGAACTGGTAAAATAGTATGTCTCCATTGGTCTATGTTGTCTTTGTGTTAGTTTTCGGAACACTCTGCACTACTGCTACGTTTTTAAACGAGGTCCAATAACGCTAAAACTAAACAACATGTCAGATTTATAAAAATAACAGAAATAATAAAAATGGCCATTTTCCTATCACATGTTGAATTATGTTCACCTCAAAGTAATGAATTAACTCAGAAAACCTGGTCTTATTCTCTTTGTAATTCTTCACGAAATCTTTATGTTGATATTTCATGTGTTCGTGTTTTATCTCTTTTTTTTTATCGTTTTGGAGTTTAAATTAATGTTTTGTTGTCATTATTATGTTTCCTTTCCTTATTGATTTCAGGACATGCCTCATTCAAAATCGTGAGTTAAGATTTGTCTATAAGCAGTCACTATCACACTAGACACTGGTAAGGTTTTATGCACATCTAACAAGAAGAATATAGACAGTATACTGACAACGTCTAAACAATAGAGTGTTTATTATACTACAACGATGCTGTCCTCTATTGGGAATTGCAGAGTTTGGACAAGACCATACTCTAATGTATACTGATGTGACGAGATTTCATCGTTCCTGTCATGGTAATGTAGGTTATAATTTGCTGGTATGCGATTCGGTACAATGATGTCAAAAGTAGTCAATTTAGTTCTGAATTTAAGAATTAACACAGACTGTTTTAATATCGATTTAAAATATCAGATTTTGATGTTTTCCTGCTCAACTCGACTTTGTATATTTGTATCAGGCTTTCAAGCGAAACAATGCTTACGAAAACATCACTAAGTATTTTGGTCCTCGTTGTTGAGATCGTTTAATTGTGAAATACATTTGTAGTTTTGTAAGCAACAAACAATTTCCATTAGAATTAGTTCATAGTGCATATTGTACAAATAAATATCATTGACATAATTAACAGATAGTTATGAATTAAACACGGTAAATGTTAATAACCAAACAATAACACAATATACCAAAAATCAAGAAAACACACTACATACAAACAATAATTACCACTTATATATCATATATCAAGGAAAAGTAAATAAACCGGCCATTGTTTATTATATTCCAAAAGTATTTGTCAGAGGAAGCTGCAAAGAACGATTTCAAGCTACATTTACAACTGCGAAATACACATCATTAACATTTTATCTAATTGAACGAAATCAGCAGCATTAGGTTGTCCAAGATACTTTTACTTTCTTCATTTTTATACCTACAATGTACGTGTAAGTATTTTTACTGAAATGAAATAATCTTAAAATAAAACCGTTAAATATATAATAAAATAACTAATCAAGTGCACGTGTTCAATTTTTTTCACATATTTTTTTCAGATTTTATCGAATTACAGATATCAAGGTTTAATTGGTCAGTCATAGTAATAGATAAAGGTGGATTAATTGTTTACAGCACGTTACTGAACATTCTAATATTTTCTTTCTTTTTATGATTTTCTTCACTGTTTTGTATGAAGTTCAATTTAAATATCGCTACAGTTCGTAAGCCAAGATGTAAGTTAGCCACTTACGGATGATAAAGTATAGAACACTTCGTTTGTAACTTAAGTGGAATTAAATAACGTTAATATAAAAAGATTTCCTTCTTGCCAGAGGATGTAAAGCACTTATCAGTTATCTTCGATTTCTCTTTTTAGCACTTATTGAGTTAACATCAATATTTTGGTTCCCGGTAGCAACAGTACACCCATCGTAATGATAAAGGTTACCCAAGGTCAACATTTGGGCTGGCTTCATGTCGATAAACGTCATCTGCGTGATATTAACCCACATTTTAAAAAGGATGAAACTATAGTCTGTGTTTTGGTAAGTTAGTTTTAAATTTGAAGTGTAAATTGTATAAATTCTCGTGCACAAGCACGTGTACAAGTATTTAAGTAGTATACACACGAGAAGGTCTATATAGGTGCGAACTCGTTTATAACATGTGTGTCAAAGATGTACAGAGCAGATAGCTGTCAACGATGAAATAATGATGAAATGCATGCCGATTTAAATATAGTATTAAACATTTAGCGTTTACAATATCGCTTTGTTTTATAATCAGTATACGCTGCCAGATAGCATAACCGAAACAGATGCCTACATTTTACAAGAAAAATCATAGTAAAAACGAAAAAATATTCGAGAAATGAAACCAGTCACATTTCTGGAGAATTTAGACGCCAATATAGGCGTGGGTGTTTTATAAAACGGCAGTAGCAACATTTTTGATAGGATCATTGAGGATTCGTGTATTGGTGTAAGATACAAAACTATGAGACCAGGTTTAAAATTCACTGTTAAGTGCTTGTGAAAGGCGTTTACTTTAGGAGAAAACAAAAGAAATTATGTGTTTAAGCTAAGATTTCTTACCTGTACTGCAAAAGAAATTACGAACGTCAATCCAGCCAAAGTCCTTCCCATCATCTGCGGAAAGAATATGGAACAGTTGATGACATTTAATCCGACATCTTAGTTACAAGTCAGAACTCTTCACCACTGTATAACCGAGGGACAAATAGTCGGTCTGAAGTAAGGCCTTAAAGTATACATCGATTCTTTAGTCACGTGACTGCAAGTTTTCTCTTTAAAACTTTGAGATCTACTTTCATTCATCAGATGTTTCTCAATAAACTGTTATCACGTGGAGACGAGGGTCTAGGCGCACGCTACCAGAGTATTAAATACGGATTACACATGATCGGTGGCAGTATACCTCCTAGTAAGTTAGGGTCTGTTGGTGGTTACGGTCTACCAAATCTTGACATTTCTTCAGATAATCATGTTCAGCGATAAGATGGACTGGTGACAATTAAGTTATTACATTTCGTCAGGATCTGGCTGGGAAGGGGATTTAAACACATAGTGATATAAACAATGACATTGAGTATGAATTAGACAACGATAACTACACCATATGCCTTGTATTTTCACAGGGGCAGCTACATAGTGGCAGCGACGGGTAGTAATACTCATTAGAGCAATGCACTGTAAAAGCATTAATCACAGTAAGATCTTCTCCTGTGACCATTTTTCTTGCACCCAACATACATACCTACGATAAAAGTGGTAATCAACGCTAATTAATCGATAGCGTTACTGTGTCATACACAGGTACCTGTTACAATTTATTTTCCCACGAGTTGGATTACATGTCTTTTAGAGCAGTTTAGAAATAGGAATAACTAATAGCTGTGGAAAAATCGTTATAAACTTGATTGAAATTTGCGCGACTTAAATATGACATGCGTTTTCATAAACATGTAGAAATCAGCCCTGTTGTTAAAATACACACTGGGTTTTGACCAAGTGTAAACAAGACTTCAATTCAGTTAGTTTGTTTGATTAATTTTTTTTTTTAACTTTTGAATCTATCAAATTAAGTTTTTTGATTATTAAATATTTCACATTCCTTTCTACTTTCATTAGTGTGCTAGTATTTAGGACACGTCCAAATATGCATGTAACTTAATCTTAAAAGTCGAGATGACCAGGCGCGAAGCAATTAGGTTAAGTTGTTGAAGTTATCACGAGACAAGTGGTCACACTCCATAACTCTTATGATGAGGACCGTATCATGTAAGCAACACACCTTGAGTATCACAACACACCTAATGTGTCACGGTCCTACAATAGTGTATCAGGGACGTTTTGTGTCTTGTTGCACGTTCACGCCCTTTTTCATCCTCTGTCCTACTACTTACCAGTATATGCTTTAAATGTGCATGTATTTCGTTACACGTGTAAAAGAACGTGTATGTAAACGTGTGTACCACATCTGTCCGTCTTATACAAAATTAACACGTACAAGATATTTACATATATAAAGCTACTAGGGCATGAGACTACCGTCATATTTTAATTTTTTTTTTTCCATTTTTTTATATCGGGAAATAAAATCTAGTAAAAGTTATGGATTGTTAAAATTCTATATTTAGATATATTTGTCGGAAAGTTTTGTTTGTTTATTGTTTGTTTGGGACTTTGTATCATTGCAACAGCTTAGGTCAATAAGAAAGCCCATATATAACTCATTCAGTCAGTATAGTACTGCCAACGGACTAGCCAGCCCATGTACACTCCATCCGGTCACACTACTACTGCCAACGGACTAGCCAGCCCATGTACACTCCATCCGGTCACACTAGTACTGCCAACGGACTAGCCGGTCCATGTACACTCCACCCGGTCACACTAGTACTGCCAACGGACTAGCCAGCCCATGTACACTCCATCCGGTCACACTACTACTGCCAACGGACTAGCCGGTCCATGTACACTCCATCCGGTCACACTAGTACTGCCAACGGACTAGCCGGTCCATGTACACTCCATCCGGTCACACTAGTACTGTCAACGGACTAGCCGGTCCATGTACACTCCATCCGATCACACTACTACTGCCAACGGGCTAGCCAGTCCATGTACACTCCATCCGGTCACAATAGTACTGCCAACGGGCTACCCAGCCTATATACACACCATTCTTGACTGAGCGAGTAGAAGCGAGCACGAAGAACCGTATTTAAACATAACCGTTCAGATGCTACGTCTTGAGGAGAGAATCCAGGGTCTTCATCACGTGCACGAATACTTAACAATTTGGCGGAAGTGGACAGTATCAGGGAGACATTAGAGAATAAACGGAGAAGAAAGAAACAGTTAAGATCCCGAGTTTAGTCACTTTTTTCGAAGGAGCAGCAGGGTTAATTCTTGCCGATATGAAAATGCCTCGAATTAATGATAATGAAGTAAATATTTCTACTGATTAATACACAGAAGTCCTGATATCGTCATATATAGCATTACATAATTATATCATTACATGTGTAGATGTACATTATTACATATGTACATACGTACCTCAACATATATATATACATATCATTACATATGTATACACGTACCTTTACATATATACATACATATTATTACATATGTACATACGTACCTTTACATATATACATATTATTACATATGTACATAGTACCTTTACATATATGTATACCTATTATTACATATGTACATACGTACCTTTACATATGTAGATATTATTACATATGTACATAGTACCTTTACATATATGTATACCTATTATTACATATGTACATACGTACCTTTACATATGTAGATATTATTACATATGTACATAGTACCTTTACATATATGTATACCTATTATTACATATGTACATACGTACCTTTACATATGTAGATATTATTACATATGTACATAGTACCTTTACATATATGTATACCTATTATTACATATGTACATACGTACCTTTACATATGTAGATATATATTATTGTATATGTATATACATATCATGACATATGTATATACTTACCATGATATGTGCAGATGTACAAGGTACATCATTACATGTGTACATACATATTTGTACATATGTAAATATACATAATAACCTAAAAATCATTACCTATTTATTGTATGCCTCAAAATAAATTTTATGTTTATCAGAACATTATAAATTACACATGCATTTTAAACAAATCCAGCGTTATTAAGGATTTAAAGTATGTATGACAAAACGTTAGTTAGGTAATTACTACACGGTAAACATGCATATCAAGATCAAAAACTCATCAGGGGTCCTTCCTCATTCCAGAGTCTCTACCAACTCTAATGTTGATATGATTTATCGAATGCAGATCATGTACAAATTCAAACTTAATTTTCCTCAAAGCCCCAATTTTATCTCGGACATAAGAGATACGAGTGTTATATAATTGAGCGTGCCTACGGAAGCGTACGGTTACGTGTGTGTTGTGGTTGATCACGTGATAACAGGACAGAGATTAGCCTTATCATTATACCGATAAGACTGACCCCCCAAACCACCTTGCCAATGCACGCGTAATTCACGCGCATTGCAGGGCAAACGGCCGCACGAGATAAAATACTCTAGTGTTTTGGGTATGACGTAATAAGCAAACGGTCTTGATTTTTTTACAAACTTCGGAAGCTTAATTAATATAGTTATTACGTGTTTCTATTCACACTTTAGATACGCTTTTATCCCCTTTTTTATCTGGAGAGAGCAAAAACTGTGCACGTGAAGACTGTGGGAATAAGGTTAATGCTACCGTCTTACGTTGTCTAGAGGATATCTTGGCTATCGTTTAAATATCTAAGATATTTTACCACTTTGACTAAAACCGATATCCCTGACAAGTGCAAATCATATATCTCGAGCACTCGGCTTATTTTCTCGAGTGCTCGTCTCATTTTCTCGAGTGCTTGTCTTATTTTCTAGAGCGCTCGTCTTTTTTCTCAAGCGCTCGAGATAATAAGTCGGGAGCACGAGATTACCGATATATGAAAATATCATTATTCACGTCCTGAACGTACCTCCGTAATAACAATAATGGTGTTAAGTGATGAAACATCTGTATACTGTGTACTGTACGTGAACGGTACATATTTATATGATATTCAAATGGAAACCATTCTTACTTTCTTGTCATTAATTTGAATATACATCAACGAGTATAATAAGAAGTATCATCACTGATGACGTCAGGCTTGACAACAGGATATCTCCTCCACGATCTACACATTCTCTTGGTGTTATCTGGTAGGAAATACTTTCCAAACTGTTTCAAATTATGAATTCAAATAACTGTGATTATTTTAATGCAGCGAAAACGAACAATGTTGTATTGAACGACGACCGAGAAATCTTATCACAATGCAATGCAATTTAAAAAATAAATAAGTTTTTTTACAGGTAGACATGTCAAAACGTGAAGCAGAACTATCATATTTCTGTGTATAACTTACTCAGCTAATTATTCTTTGCTTGCCACTTAAAGATTACTGTAGTAAGGATCACCTTCAAAGTTTATGGAGCCAGTGAGAAAGATAAAACAACAAAAAATTATACTGAAATAAATTTCAACTCTTGTTAATCATGGCTGAAGACATTCTGAGCATAACATATTTCTTCGTAGAGAGATGAAGCTTGAGGCTCGAGGCCGTAATAGTACAGTCAGTAAGAGCGTTGACCTAGCTCTGTCACCCTAGACGAAGATCCTGAACTGCGTGCTTCGACCCGTGTCAGTAGGTGATTCACAAGAAGCACTTTTATCCTATCTGATGTGGATGGCATGCGACGGGCCTCTATTCTGTAGTTCAGTGAGGTAGCCACCAGATACTACAAAATGGCACTGGTTGTTCACGGAACAATAACCCCAGCAAACAAAAACAATTAATTAAACTTTTCACTCCCAACAAAATTGTTGGAACAAGGAGGAGGAGGAGGAGGAGGAGGTATGGTGACGATGCAATTAAAAAAACTTCAAACAATTCACTTTCAATTCTTTTTTTTTTTTTTACTTCTGAAATTAATTTGTAGCTTTCAGTGTGAAACATTAAAGATTTTCGAATTAATGACAAAAAATT